GTTATCTCTTTAAAATGTAGAAGTTGACTCATCGTATAAGGCAACCTCATTTCTGCGGCATCAAATAATAATTTTGTCAATATTTGACATGTATGTCAATGCCCTCTTCAAACACACATCAGCTGCACACACATTAATGGTTAGTCTTCATTCCACAACTTGTTTTATTTATCAATATCGTACCTGCATAAGCAGGTAATATGGTCTGTGTTTCAAAGCTGCATGGGAGTTAAAGATGTACTTACTCTTTGCATCACATGCCAATGGCATTTCAAAATGGCAGCCTCCCAAACTTCTTTGATTTTATAGTTGGTGCATAAGTTGACCCATGTTTATAGAGGGATTTTAACGGCTTCAGAGGTCAACTTTTGCACTGACATGTACAGGAACTCGTGGCAAACTCCTGTCTGTTATCCCACCAAACTGATTACCTGACCAGCTAAGTCTTTTTCACCAGGAAACTGCAGCCAATGAGCATAATGATGATGCCTGAGGGTCAGTGGAAGGAGGGGCTTAGGACATGTCAGGGGTGGGGTTTCCAGCAAGATCTGACATGGAGGAGAGCCCCATGGATAGGAGAGAGCACGGTGAGTGCTTCCAATCCTTCTGGCTCACCAATTTGAAAGGCATTGGTCTTGTATTGACTAGTTGATGATTCCAGTCCTGGACTTGCTGCTGCCTAGCTGATGTTTTGATACTCTCCTTCCATCTTCGATTACTTCTGCATTACATTGTTGATACCATTGACTTTTGAATATCAACTTGGCCCATTCATGACCTGTTATGGGGTAGTAAATATTTAAATAGTCGAGAAAGGATCTGGTTAGAGCCAGGAGATAAAACTTGAATTTTAACTTTGTTCAAAGCTTTTCTTGCTCTGTAGAATGGAGTTCAAAATTGATTCCTTGAGTTTGTGCCACCAGAATTGTGCATTGCTTTCTCTGAAAGTTTATATAAATGTAAGAGTATAACTGTTCAGTTTTCTAGAATGGTTTGTTTCTTGTTTCAGAACCAAGATTCTTACCAGGCAACTCAAAATCCTGCACTGGTACCCCGTCCCAGTGAATTGTACTACAGCAAAATTGGACCAGCTTTAAAATCAGTGGGTCTTACTCTTGATGTCTCCCGACGTGACTGGCCTTTGAGTGTAATGAGTTCAGTCTTAGAAGAACTGATGGAGTCCACACCCCCGAATCTACTTGCCAAGGAGCTGTGGTGTTCATGCACCACTCCAGATGAATGGTGGAGTGTTACACAGGTATGAGAAAAGTCTTGAAACAACTCTTAATTTTTTACTTATATCTAAACGATTCCTGTATGAGAAACATTTTGTGCAATGATAAGTAAAATGCAGCGATGCCAGCACATTTAGCATTTGAATGCAATTTCATGTGCAAGAAATCAATCAAAATTTTACATACATTTGAATTTTGAGAATGTTGAGAAACTTGTACCAATATCAGTGATATAAAATTTTAGGCCTGAAGATTAGTCTTCTAGACCAGCACATTTGGTACTTGGTGATTACTTGGTGTAAATACTGAAATTAATTAGTTCCCAAGTTTGCATTCAACTATTTGCCACAAAGTAAGTTTTTAAATTTGGGTCACTTTGGCATTCAGGCCAGTATCCTGGTGTAATCCGTACTTCTGAAAATGTTTCCACATGAACTTTGCCAAAAGGAAACCAATTACAGAAATTCCAAGAGTTCCTAGTGTAGAGGTGGCTCTTCAGAGGTTTGAATGTTTGTAAGGGCCTTGTTGAGATAAATGGGATAAATCTTTCTTTCTGATATTTGTAATGAGATTGTTCCACTAGTTCTTGTCTAGTGTACTATAGCTTGTGCTTTTCTTTTGTATAACAAACGTTTGTGTTCTCTTGTTTTAAAAAGTACTTCTACAGCCTCTTGAAGGGAAGCATTGGCCTTGTGGTATTATTACTAGATTATTAATCCAAAACTCTGTTAATGTTCTGGGACTTGGGTTCGAATCCACCATGGCAGATGGGGGAATTTAAATTCACAAAGAATCTGGAATTAAGAATCTAATGATGACCATAAAACTATTGCCAATTTTTTGGGGAAGACCCATTGAGTTCACTAATGTCCTTCAGGGAAGGAATCTGTTGTCCTTACCTGGTCTGGCCTACACGTGACTCCAGAACCACAACAATGTGGTTGACTCTGGGCAGTGAGGGATGAGCAATAAAATGCTGGCCCAGCCGATGACACCCATGTCCCATGAGTAAAGAGAAAAAGATGTTCAGTAATTGAACTCTGCAGTAAAAAGAAAGAACAATAAAACTTAGGATTCGTTAAGGCAAGTTTCTTTCTGGGATCTGACTTGTGCAATACCAGCTGGGATCACCACAGAAGAGGCAAAGCAGTTCGTGCCCTTGGACTGAATACCAGAATTTTTTTTCATCAGAGAGAAGCTTTAATTGCAAGTCAATTTCCATTGTAAGGTCAGGACCTGAACTTGATGTTTCATGAGCTCATCTTGTGCAAATGACTTAAAACGCTACACTTGGAAAATGTTTTGTGTTTAGTTAACTTGTAGTAAAAGCCACCAAACGTCCCTAAGTATTTGTAATCAGCAATTTGTCATCTTGTGATTTTGATGCCCTTATCTAAATTGTACAACATGGCTGATGCTTTAAATTGATAATCCTCAGTCTTTCATTGATTTTTTTTTTTTTTTTTTTTTGTTTATTTGGTGAGGATCAGCTAGGAAGAAAGGAGCTTATGTTTATGTCACACCTTTCACACCCCCAGCCTCTGATTTGATTTGTGTTGATGTCTGAGGAGTAAGTATTTGGCACGATACTTGGCAATCTTCCTGCTGTTTGGATAATGCCTTGGCAGTGCTTAACACATACACATGAACATGTCGACAGCCCTCAGTTTACTGTTGCTTCTAAAAGTTTTCTTAAGTGAAATTCTTTATCCTTGGGACCATTCTCAAACCTTTCTGCATTTTCCACTGCCTTCAAATTCTCCCTAAAGTATGGTGCCAGAATTGATCACTGCTCCAGCTAGGGTTAAACCAGTGCCTTTTATAAGTTCATCAGAACTTTCTTGCCTTGTAACAAAAGCTAGATTAGTGTATACTTTAATAACTGCTCTGTCAACTTGTCCTGCCATCTTTTTAAAAACTTGTGCACGTATACACCCCTTTAGTTGTACTAAAGAAAAACTGGAAATGAGGTAATCAACTCCAGGGTTTAATTAGCAAGCGGGAAAATACAACGACACTTCATTGGAGGCTTGACTGATGACGTTACCCCATAGAGTAATGAAATGTCTGCAAACTAATGAACCAGCTTGGCTAGCGAATGAACCAAAGTATATTGAACTCCATTTGCCATTTCTTGGCCCACTTCCCCAGCTGATCAAGATCCTGCTGCAATTTCTGTAACCTTCCTCACTGTCCACGATACCACCTGTTTTAGTGTCATCTGTCAGGTTCTTAATCGTGCCTTGTACATTCTCATCCAAATCGTTGATATAGATAACAAACAGCAATGGCCCCAGCACCGACCCCTGAGGCACACCAGTAGTCACAGGCCTCCAGTCCAACAAGCATCCTTCCAGTATTACCCTCTGCTTCCTACAGTCAGGCCAATTGTGTATCCAATTTGCCAACTCTCCCTGGATTCCACGTGATCTGACCTTCCAGAGCAACCTATCATGTGGAACCTTATCAAAGGCCTTACTGAAATCCATATAGACTACATCTACTGACCTGTCCTCATCAACCTTCCTGGTCACTTCTTCATCAAGAACTCTAACAAATTTGTGAGGCATGATCTCCCCACACAAAGCCATGCTGACTGCTCCTAATCAAGCCCTGTCTTTCTAAATGCACATATATCTTATCCCTCAGAAATTTTCTTAAATATTTTCCTACCACAGATGTTAAGCTCACTGGTCTATAATTCCCAGGTTTTTCTTTGCAGCCCTCCTTGAATAAGGACACAACATTCGCTACCCTCCAGCTTTCCAGGACCTCCCCCGTAGCTAATGATGATGCAAATATATCAACCAGGGCCCCTGCAATTTCTTCTTTAGCCTCTTGCAGGGTTCTTGGCAAAATCTGGTCAGGACCAGGAGACATATCCATTTTCATGCATTCTGATACTTCCAACACCACCTCTGTGATGTGGACTGTCCCCAAGATATCGCCACTAACTTCCCCACGTTCCCAGGTCTTCACATCTTTCTCTACGATAAATACCGGAGAAATATTCATTGAGGACCTTGCTTATCTCCTGTGGTTCCATACATGCATGTCCACTTTGGTCCTTGAGGGGTCTGATTCTCTCTCTAGTTATTCTTTTTCCTTTAATACACTTCGAGTTTCTTTTGATTCACCCTAATCTTCTCAGCCAAAGCTGTCTTGTGCCCCCTTTTTGCCCTCCTGATTTCCTTCTTCAATAAACTCTGGTATCCCCTATATACCTTCAGGGATTCCCTTGATCCCAGCTGCCTGTTCCTGAGCCATGCTGCCGCCTTTTTTCTGGTCAAAGCCTCCATATCCCTTGTCATCCAGGGTTCCCTTCTCCTGCCAACCTTGCCCTTCACCCTCAGAGGAACAGAAAGACCTTGAGCTCTAGCTATCACACTTTTAAAAGCCTCCCACATGCCAGAAGTCCCTTTTGCCTACAAACAAACTACTCCAATCAACCCCTGCAAGCTCCTTCTAAATCAGTCAAAATTTGCCTTTCCCCAGTTTAGGGCTTGAACCTGTGGATCAGTTTTTTTCCTCCTTCATAACTATTTTAAAATTAATAGAACTGTGGTCACTGGTCCCAAAGTGCTCCCCCACGGTCACCTCAGTCACCTGTCCTGCCCTATTTCCCAAGATTAGGTCGAATTTTGCCCCTTACCGAGTAGGACCCTCTATATACTGCTTGAGGAAGCTTTCCTGAACACTTAACAAATTCCATCCCATCTAAGCCCTTAACACTATGGCAGTCCCAGTCTATGTTAGGAAAGTTAAAATACTCCTCTGTGACTACCTTTTTATTGCTCCTGCAAGTGTCCCCAATCTGCCTGCATTTTTGTTCCTCTAATTCCCATTGACTATTTGGGGGCCTAAAGTACCCCCCCACCCAATAATGTTGCCAATTAGCTCCACCCACAAAGCCTCATTGCATGATCCCTCAGTTATTTCATCTCTGACAATTACTGTGATACTCCCCTTAATCAAAAATGCAACTCCCCCTCCCCTCTTTCCTCCACCTCTGTCCTGCCTAAAGCACCTGTACCCTGGCACATTAAGCTGCCAGTCCTGTCCCTCCCTTAGCCACGTTTCTGTAACAGCCATAATATCCCAGCCTCACGTACCTATCCACGCCCTGAGTTCATCAGCCTTGCCTGTCAGCCCTCTTGCATTGAAATAGATGCAATTTAATCCAACAGGCATTCCTTGCTCCCTGTCCTGTTGCAGCCTGACCTGCCTCTTCAACTTGCTGTTTCCGATTAGTGTATCCCCTTCCAGCCTTGCAGTTGCCACCCTGCTGTTGAGGATCCCACTCCCCTGCAAATCTAATTTAAACCCTCCCTTGGGCTTTGAGATTGTGCCCTCAACCCCAAAGTCTAGATAATTAATGTACATGAGGAAGAATAAGTGTCCCAACTGACCCTGGGGAATTCCATTACAAACCTTGCCCCACTTGAAAAATGGTCATTCCCGTCATTGAGTCAGAAACAGACCCTTCGGTCCAATTCGTCCATGCCGACCGGATATCCTAAATAAATCAAGTCCCATTTGCCAGTATTTGGCACATGTCCCTGTAAACCCTTCCTATTCATATACACATCCGGATGCCTTTTAAATGTTGTAATTGTACCAGCCTCCACCGCTTCCCCTGGCAGCTCATTCCATACACGCACCACCCTCTGTATGGAAATGTTGCCCCTCAGGGAGTCCCTTTTTAAATCTTTCCCCCTCACCTTAAAGCTATGCCCTCTAGTTTTGGACTCCCCTGCCCTGGGAAAAAGACCTTGGCTATTCACCCTATCCACTCCCCTTGTAATTTTATAAACCTCTTAAAGTCACCCCACAGCCTCTAATGCTCCAGGGAAAATAGCCCCAGCCTATTCAACCTGGTCCCTATAGCTCAAACCCTCCAACCCTGGCAACATCCTTGTAAATCTTTTCTGCACCCTTGCTAGTAAACAACGTCTTTGCTATAGCAGCCAATTTTGTATCCATGTTGCTACTATTCCGTGTGCTGTAACGTAGCCCACAAGAACGTTGTGCAGCATTGTAAAATATGTCCTAGTCCACTTTCATCACATCAGTAACATTTCCTTGAGCATCCCTTTTGTTACCTTATCAAAAAACCTCCAAGTTAGTTAAACATGATTTGTCCTCAGGAAATTCATGCTGGTTCTCAATAAACCTGCATTTCTCCATGTGACTACTTTGTCCAAATATTTGTTTCGAGAAGGTTCACAAGCACTAAAGTTAAACTAACAAGCCTGTACTTATCAGGCTTATTCCATCACACTCTTGTGAACAAGAATGTAATGTTTGCAATTCTCCAGTCTTTCAGCACCTCCTGAGTCTAAGGGAGGTTGAAAGATTTTTTTTTTTGGGATTCTGCAATTTCCCCACTCTATACTTTGAATATCTTGGATGGATCTCATCTGAACTGAATGCTTTGTCAACATCTAAAAAGCGATAGCTTATCAGTGATCTCCTTACCAATTTTAAGTTGGCATGGTGGCTCAGTGGTTAGCGCTGCTGCCTCCCAGCGCCAGAGACCCTGGCCACTTCCACACGCGCGACTGTATGGAGTTTGCACATTCTCCCCATGTTGGCCTGGGTTTCCTCCGGGTGCTCCAATTTCCTCCCACAGTCCAAAGACGTGCAAGTTAGGCAGAGTGGCCATGCTAAATTGCTCAGTGTCCGGGGACGTGCAGGCTAAGTGGGTTAGCCATGGGAAATGAGCTACAGGGATAGGAGATGCTTTTTGGAGGGTCAGTGTGAACTCGATGGACTCAATGGCCTGCTTCCACACTGTAGAGATTCCATGATTTTCTGTCTCAAATTCCTACACAGAATTGAAACAAAGGACTGGTTTAATGTTGTTGTTAACTAAAAATGCTTTTTTAAAAAAATAGGAATTGACCATTTAATCTTCAGCTACCTAGGGCCTAAATTCTGGAATTCTCTTCTGAAACTTCTCTGCATCTTGACTTCTCTCTCCTGTAAAGTGCTACTTAAAACTTTATTCTTTGACCCAGCTATTTGGTCACATGATCTAATTTTAATGTGGCTTAGTGTTAACTTTTGTCTGATAAACTTCTTGTTGGGATGTTTTCAAGATATTTAACTACATTAAATCCGTTATGGAAATTGAGTTTACCCTGAAAACTTTCTCAGTCTGGTGATAATGTAATAATTAATGTTTTATTTGCAGTCATATGCAAGATCAACTGCAGTTATGTCTATGGTAGGCTATATAATTGGACTTGGTGACAGACACTTGGATAATGTACTAATTGACATGACAACTGGGGAAGTGGTACACATTGACTACAATGTTTGCTTTGAAAAAGGTAAACTGTTTTTTAATACTGAATAATTTTCTGTAGCATTGTATTATTCCTTTATCTTTGGGCTGAAGGATGTAATTGTTTTGCTTTAATCACCTTTAGGCAAAAGCCTAAGAGTTCCTGAGAAGGTTCCATTCAGAATGACTCAAAATATTGAAACGGCGCTTGGTGTGACAGGAGTCGAAGGATTGTTCAGACTTTCTTGTGAGCAGGTTAGCTGAAAATTTGGGTCCTTTAGGAATTATTTATTTATAAATTGATCTCAACACAAAATAAACTAATTGCAGGCACTGTTCTTCACATTTTTCTGTTGTTTGTTCCCGGTTAGGTGGTCCAAATAATGCGCCGTGGTCGAGAGACTCTCTTGACATTGCTGGAAGCTTTTGTATATGATCCATTGGTGGATTGGACTGCGGGTGGGGAAATTGGATTTGCTGGTGCTGTATACGGTGGAGGTGGTCAACAAGCGGAGAATAAACAGAGCAAGAGGGAGATGGAGCGAGACATTACCCGCAGTCTCTTCTCTTCCAGGGTTGCTGAAATTAAGGTATCAAACAGTGAATATTAGATAATCAAATATGACAAATATAACTTGAACTCAAAACTAGGAAATCCAATCTAATTTTAAGTGAATATTTGAATTAGTAATTTTATTTTATTTAAAATGATTAGATTAGTATTAAGATATACAGTGCAAAGCTCCTGATCTTTGTTCTCAGGAGACATCCATTTTTCTGGCCAGAAAAGTAAAATGGCAGAAACCTAATGAGGCTTTGTCCTGTTAATGTGCCAGGATTTCTTATAATTGTAGGGGATTAAGAAAGGCCAACACTTCTAAACCTGCAACTGTGGTGGGCGTAGACCAATCATAGACATATAAATGAAATGTGGCATTCCAAGCCTTTTGTCTTGGTTCTGGCCATTTTTGTAATTGTGTGTGGGATGGCTTTCAGAAAGGTGGGGGTTTATAGGGCTTACTGTCCTGACCTGGTTGTTCCACATCTTCCCAATTCTGCAGTAAATGGGAAGCCAGGAAAATTCACTTCCTAACATAACTGGAGTGAATTGAGACTGAATTGTTCACATATGGATGTTGAGGCAATTATCTGTTCATGTAAATAATGGGGAAAAAAGGCTAAAGAAAGTGGCACACACTGAACTTTAATTCTAATTGCAGTACATTGCCATATCTAAAAGTATAATGGTCAACTGAAGAGTTAATGTTGAGGTGGTTAATACAGATGTAGGAAAGGGCTTCGAATTTGCTTTAATGCTCTTCTGTCTAAACTGAGGTGGTACCGTGCTCGTGAAGCAGAAGGCTTTAGTAATCTTTTATGCCCAAAGGCATAGATTTCAACTACTTTAAATTCAAACTGCTTGAATTTATTTAAGCCTCTTAAACTGTGAACTGAATGTTTGTTTCATTTTCTTCCTGGTCTAATCTTTTACTTGCCCTCATCCATAACATAAAGGTGACCTGGTTTAAGAACAGAGATGATATGCTAGCGGTCATCCCTAAGCTTGATACAAGTCTAGAGGATTATCTTAGTCTGCAGGAACAGTTGACGAAGGTGGAGAAACTGCAGGGTAAATTGTTGGAGGAAATTGAATTCCTGGAAGGTGCTGCTGATATTTCTGATCACCCGGCTCTCACATTGGAGCAAAGGTATACCTCTTTTCAAAACAAAATTGATACTTACTCTGTCAATTCTCTCAATTAAAGGATCGTTTTGCTTTCTTTTGACACATTCTAACGTTTTCATGCACACTGTATAATATCAAAACTGTATTTACTGTGTACACAATAGTTACATATTTCCATATTGTTGCCAATTTGTGTTTACAACTGCCATATTAAATTTTAAACCTTTTCACTGACGAGAGAATATGCTGAAAGTTATCTGAAAAATACTGAAAATGATTTTAGCCACAATTAATAACTCAAGGCTGATGATAACGAGCTACATCTGTCAAATCTGACATTCTAAATTTTGCTTAATGCACGAGCCACCCAACTCATGTTCCAGAAGGTAAAGATTATTATCTTGATAACCTTTCTGGGTAGAACAACAAAAGGTGAGAGCTTTAGGTTGAAGCTCAACTTTAAAATCAGAGAAAAATACTTCATTGTGGGTACATGGGAAGACTACGTAAAATTGGAAAATGTTTTCTTTACTTCAAAGCTGGTGTTTAAAAAGTTTGAGTTGTTAATGTAAAAGAATCTGTCCTGTGGTGCAGTAGTAGTGTCCTTACCTCTGAGCCAGGAGGCCTGCCCTCTGGTAATAATATCTCTGAACAGGTTGATTAGAAAATATATTAAAGAGGAGCTGGTTTCTTTCTGAGTGGGTGTTTGGCCTCTGGACAGCAAAAACACCCAGAAAGGAAAGAGGGGAACTGGTGTTTATGCTAAATGATAGGTTTACAATAAAATCCTTGTAAATCTGAATGTCTCTTGGTACCTAATTCAACACATGGATGTCAGTCTGTGAAACACTTCAGGTATTGTACTCAATGAATTGCTGCCCATTTTACATAGAAGGCTGCATGGCTGAGCTCAATTTTAACCCTCATTTTTTTAAAAAAGGAATGATGAACATCAGGGTATATTATAATCTAATAGGCGTACAGTATCAAAGCAGTTAGGTTATTGGACTAGTAAACTTGTGGCTTGGACCAGTGGTGCAGAGACATGAATTCAAGTCCCACCATGGCAGCTAGAGATTTCAAATTCATTTTGTTAAATAAATTTGCAGTAAAAGGCAAGCCTGCATAATGGTGACCATGGAACTACTACCTCGGATTCATTAGTTTCCTTTCTGGAAGAAAATGTTACATCCTTATCTGACCTAAATATTACTCAATCCCCACAGAAATGTGGTCAACTTTTACCCTCTACAGGGCAAGTAACAGCCTAGTGGCTCGACTGTTAATCCAGAGACCCAGGTAATGTTCTGGGATCTAGGTTCAAATCCTGCCACAGCAGATGGTGACATTTAAATTTTAATTTTTAAAATCTGCAATTAACAGTCTGACAATGACCATGAATCCATTGTCGATTGTTGGGAAAAACCCATCTGGGTCACTAATGTCCTTTTAGGGTAAGAAAATACCATTCTTACCTGGTCTGGCCTACATGAGTTCAGATCCACAACAATGTGGTTGACTCTCAACTGTCTTCTGGGCAATTAAGGAAGGGCAATAAATGCTGGTCTGGCCAGCGATGCTCATTTCCTGTGAAAGAATAAATAAATAACTAAGCAAGCTGCACACTTAATGCAGTGGGGTTCCACATTCTCAAAATCAACTGAGGATGGACAAAAATGCCGGCAAAAATACATCCCATGAACAAACCGGAAAAAAAAAGTATCCTCTGAATTGTTCGTTTTATTTTCTGTTGCTTGTGAAATGGGTTGGATGTAAATGATTAAACCAGATAGAAGCAAAGAATTTGAAGGGTAAATACCAATAGCTTGTTCTGGGACTTGGTATTCCCATTGCGAGTTTAAGCTCCATCCAGAGGAAGTTTCTTGTATTGCTTGCAAAATTTCCAAAATAGCAAACGGTGTGAATGTAATCCAAATTATAACTGTTTGTTGGTCTTGTATTTAGATATTCAGAACATACCCAGCTGCAGTCTCAACAACTGGCTGTGCAGGATGCTATTCAAGTGAAATTGAATGACTTTGAACAGTGGATTGCCCAATATCAGGCTGCCTTTTCAAATCTGGAAGCCACACAGCTTGCAAGTCTCCTTCAGGACATCAGTACTCCCCTGGAGCTAGGTAATGGCCATTCACATGCAGAGTTGAACCACTGGGATATGTAAATTTCCGGAAGTTACATATTTGAAGTGTCAGCTCTCCTATCTTGTCAGACTGAAGTTTAGTGTTCAATAGGATGCCCAGAATTAATTCAAATAATGTAAATTTAAAAGAAATCTTCGTGCACCTTTCTGTTTTCATTGAAGAAAATGGCAAAATCTAAAATGTTCTTCAATCAAATTACGCTGATTTTGGTGTTGAGATGCAGCAATCCTAACAGCAATCGTGGGATTTTCTTTGTCAGTAGCTGATATGGAGCATGTGTATAAATTGAGGACACTTCAAGTTTGTTTCAACACCAATCTAATTCCATTTCCCAGACAATGTGTGATGTGAACGGGCATTTGACACACTATATTGTTTATATTCTGCATTACATCTGAACTGAAAGCCAGATGAGAGTAAATTAGGAATTATTTTCCTAATACGCTTAAAATGAAAAACAGTGCCCTTAGTTTGTGCACTTAAGCTTCTTAGTGAGGAATACCTGGCAAGGGTGGGTTGTCTGAAGAAAGGTTGGTCAGGCTAAGTTTGTATCTGCTGGAATTTAGAGGTGATTAGATTGAAACATTTAAGATTCTGAGGGGGCTGGGCAGGGGGAAATATGTAAAGAATGTTTCGATATGGAAGAATTTTGAACTGGGATCACTATTTTGAATAAATGCTTACACCGATGAGAAACTTTTCCCGCACTTTGGGACCTTTTCTCAAAAGGTGGTAGAAGCAGTGACCTTCAGAATATTTAAGGTTGAGGTTGATAGATTCTCAATAAGCAAGGGGTGAAAGATTGTCCGGTGCAGGTGGAAATGTGGATTAATCGCACTAACCATGAACTTATTGAAAGGCTGAGCAAGCTAAAGAAGCCAAGTGGCCTGGTGCTTCTAATTTACATATTAATCTACTAAATGTTAAATTAAGTGCCTTTCTGGTTTGAACATTTCCCTCACTTATTTTAACTCAGGGGCTCCAAGCTATGTACCAGCTACAACATTCCTGCAGAATGCAGGCCAGGCCCACCTGATCAGCCAATGTGAACAGTTGGAAGGAGAGGTTGGTGCACTGCTGCAGCAACGTCGTACTATCTTACGCGGCTGCCTGGAACAACTGCACAGTTATGCTGCTGTGGCTCTGCAGTATCCAAAGGCAGTTTTCCAGAAGCATAGAATGGAACAGTGGAAAACATGGATGGAAGAACTGATTTGTGACATGACAGTGGAACACTGCCAGGAACTGTACAGAAAGTGAGTTTTATATGAATTGAGGCCACAATTTAAATGGGAATTGAATCGAGCTTGCTTGTAAATTCTACGGTCCTGACTGGTCAGTGTACATAGAATAGAATTACCTCTACTGCATTAGATAATCTGGACTTGAGTGGGATCTTAATTTTGCCCTCTAAGTTAATGAAGAAAGCAATCATAGTGCCCATTTCTTTTCATTATCTGGTGATTCTTACATAGAAAGTATTTAAGATCTTCCGGTAAAGACAGATGTTTATAAAATCCGAAGTTTAACACTCAAGTTTATAGGCACCAGGGAGGAATGGCCATTGGAAGGTGCCTGATGGTGACCAGTACCTGGCAAGCTGAACTCGTACAGTCAATCAGGTTTGTTGTTCGGGATTATAGACAGAATTGTTTTTCAAGGTGCTATAGTGCAGGAGACATAAACTTATTTACCAGTTAGTTGCTGATGGGAACGATTGGGTCAATTACAAATCTCCAGAAAAAATTGAATTTGATTTGAAATGAATCTAGTACAAGGCTCAGCAGTGAGCCAGTAAACTACAATATTGCAACTACAATAATAAGGCTGAATGGAACAACAACTTTATTATACACAACATTAACCTGCTTGTTTCCTAGGTATGAGATACAGTACGCCCCTCAGCAACCTCCAGCAGTTTGTCAGTTCATAACTGCTACTGAGATGACACTTCAGCATTTTGCTGCAGATGTTAACAGTCGCTTAATCAGACAAGTTGAACGTCTGAAGCAGGAATCTGTCACCCTCCCTGTTTGCGAAGAACAACTGAAGGAAATTGAACGCTGCATAAAAGTTTTTCTTCTTGAAAATGGTGATGAAGGATCCTTGAGTCTTGCTAGTGTCATAATCTCAGCCCTCTGCACGTTAACAAGGTATAGCCTGACTGTTATATCATAGCTCTTAGCTATAACCAACAGAAACAAAAGTTTATCTTAAGAATTGTTATTTTAAAAGATAGTATAAGATGAGTTTCCATGTTGTTTTAATCATCATGATTCAATGAAGTTGAATGAAAACATTTTAAGAGCTAGGGGTTTTCTCTTTAGAACGACGAAGGATGAGAGGTGACTTGATAGAGGTGTACAGAATGATCAGAGGTATAGATAGAGTGGACAGCCAGAGACTTCCACCTAGGGTGGAGGTAGCTATTTCGAGGGGACATAGTTTTAAAGTGAGTGGAGGTAGATATAGGGGAGATGTCAGAGGTAGGTTCTTTACTCGGAGAGTGGTCAGGGCGTGGAATGCATTGCTGGAGAGGGTAGTGGAGTCAGCCTCATTAAGGGCATTTAAGCAGCTATTAGATAGGCATATGGATGCTAGTATAAGGTAGGGGTAGAGGTTAGATAGACCTTGGGTTTAGGGTAAAGGTTTGGCACAACATCGTGGGCCAAAGGGCCTGTACTGTGCTGTTCTATGTTCTAAGGGAAGAATAGTTTTAGACAAAATTAGTGATCATGTCATTGGCTTGTATGTCTGATGTTTTTGACAGTTTTGAAATAGCTGTAGGTTAAAATCCTAATTGAGAAAACAATGGGAAGTTAGTTAGTTGTAAGTATTTTGTGCACATGGTAAGTTCTTGATGGCGAGTGTGTCCATTTTTACCTCTTTGATTATGCTGCAGACGCAACCTCATGATGGAAGGAGCTGCCTCCAGTGCTGGGGAGCAGCTGGTTGATCTGACTTCCAGAGATGGTGCTTGGTTTTTAGAGGAGCTCTGTAGTATGAGTGGTAACGTGACCTGTCTTGTACAACTTCTTGAGCAATGCCAGCTGGTTCCGCAGGATCTTGACATTCCAAACCCAGTGGAAGCATCAGAAGCTGTATATTTGGCCAATGGAGTATACACTTCTTTGCAGGTTAGTGTGACTAAAGGACGTTTTTCAGGTGTCAATCTGCTGACTTAACTAAAATAACTCACCCTTTTGTTAACACTTGGATATGATTTTCAACAGGAACTAAACACCAACTTCAGACAGATTATCTTTCCAGAAGCTCTTAGATGCATGATGAAAGGAGAAAATACATTGCAGAACATGCTTAATGAACTGGATAATATTATTGAACAGACAACTGATGGCGTTTCTTTGCAAATGCTGATGGATTCATTGCAGGCTTATCTGAGAAATGCTGCAATGGGAATGGAGGAAGAAACCAATGCCCATTATATTGATGTCACCAGGTAAATGATTATTTGCTTAATGCATTTCTTATGCTGCAGATGCTTTATTTTTAACAAGAAAATCTGAGCTATGTTTAATAGTATATCACATTACTGTTATGTAGCGAGTCAATTTATTCATAAATTTTATAATTGTCTAGGTGAAATTAGTCAATGTGCTGTTAATTTGGCAGATTTTTGACTTGAAGCAAGACTCATGATCTGTGTTAATAGCTGTTAATGTAGCACTAGCACACGTTGAAAGATTTGCACATTCTGTAGTGGGAATATTTAATTAATTTGACTGCAATTGGGGAAGCTGCCATTTGAATTTCTTAAGTGATTTACTTTTTTTCAGATTGAACAATGAAATATATGAATCAGAGGTGTTTTTCCTTATCTCCCTCCTACTTGGTTCTTCCCTTTTCTGATTGTCTCCTCGCCAATCTGTTGTTTAAATAGCCTGGTTCTGTTATACTTTGAGCTAAAGGCCAAGGGACGAATGCACTTCTTGGCCCTTTGTGTTAATTATTTTGCTGCTTATGCTACTATGAAACACCTTGAGGCAACTGCGAAGTAATTACAAGTAGCTGTAGAAGCAGTGACAGTGGGAGTGCTTTATACAAGTCAGTTTGACATTGCTAGAGATTAAATAATTTCTTGAACTCTAGTATTAGCCTGGAAAACGTATGGAATGATATTGGATTAGCACAGCTGGTTGGGAATTTGTCCTATGGTAATGCATGTGGTAGTATCAGGTACTGGGTTTTCACATGTGCATTGCAGCTGCAGTTTTCTGTTGACATGAGCTACTAAATTATCCCTGTATATAAATTGGGATGCCTTAACATAAATCCAGTATTTAAAACCAAGCTACTACAGATGCTGGAAATCAAATAAAAGCAGTGCTGGAGAAACTCAGCAGATCTGGTAGCCTTAGTGGAGAACAAAATGGAGTTTACCGCTTCAAGTCCAATGACTCCTCTCTGGAATAGAGTTAACTTGTGAAACAGGAGTCCAGGTTCAGTTTGGCATCTATCCTGTTGCCAGTTTTTCTCTTCAGGACCACAATTTTAATTTCTGCCCTGGAAATGCAGTCTGGTTTTTGCTTTTGCCTCCGCCTCCAGGCTTAGAACAAAGAACAAAACAGTATGGGAACAGGCCCTTCGGCCCTCCAAGCCTGTGCCGATCCAGATCCTCTATCGAAACCTGTCGCCTATTTTCCAAGGATCTGTATCCCTCTGCTCCCTGCCCATTCACGTATGTGTCTAGATATATCTTAAATGATGCTATCGTGCCCGCTTCTACCACCTCCGCTGGCACTGCGTTCCAGGCACCCACCACCCTCTGCGCAAAGAACTTTCCACGCATATCTCCCTTAAACTTTTCCCCTCTCACCTTGAAATCGTGACCCCTAGTAATTGAGTCCCCCACTCTGGGAAAAAGCTTCTTGCTATCCATCCTGTCTATACCTGTCATGATTTTGTAGACCTCAGTCAGGTCCCCCCTCGACCTCCATCTTTCTAATGTAAATAATCCTAATCTACTCAACCTCTCTTCATAGCTAGTGCCTCCATACCAGGCAACATCCTGGTGAACCTCCTCTGCACCCTCTCCAAAGCATCCACAAATTTTGGTGCTGTGGCGACCAGAACTGTATGCAGTATTCCAAGTGCAGTTGAACCAAAGTCTTATACAACTGTAACATGACCTGCCAACTCTTGTACTCCAATAACCCGTCCAATGAATGAAAGCATGCCGTATGCCGCCTTGACCACTCTATCGACCTGCATTGCCACCTTCAGGGTACAATGGACCTGAGCACCCAGATCTCTGTGCATCAATTTTTCCCAGGGCTTTTCCATTTACCGTATAGTTCGCTCTTGAATTGGATCTTCCAGAATGCATCACCTTGCATTTTCCTGGATTGAACTCCATCTGCCATTTCTCCGCCCAACTCTCGAATCTATCTATATTCTGCTGCATTCTCCGACAGTCCCCTTCACTATCTGCTATTCCACCAATCTTAGTGTCATCTACAAACTTGCTAATCAGACCATCTATACCTTCCTCCAGATCATTTATGTATATCACAAACAGCAGTGGTCCCAACACGGATCCCTATGGAACACCACTGGTCACCGATCTCCATTTTGAGAAACTCCCTTTCACTACAACTCTGTCTCCTGTTGCCCAGCCAGTTCTCTATCCATCTAGCTAATGTATGCGACTTCACTTTCTCCATCAGCCTACCATGGGGAAGCTTATCAAACGCCTTACTGAAGTCCCTGTATATGACATCTACAGCCCTTCCCTCATCTGTCAACTTTGAGGAAGTGACAAAGAATTCTATCAAGTTGGTAAGGCATGACCTTCCCTGCACAAAACCATGCTGCCTATCACTAATAAGCCCATTTTCTTCCAAATGTAAATCGCTCCTATCCCTCAGTGTCTTCTCCGGCAGCTTCCCCACCACTGACGTCAGGCTCACTGGTCTATAATTACCTGGATTATCCTTGCTACCCTTCTTAAACAAGGGGACATTATTAGCAATTCTCCAGTCCTCTGGGACTTCACCCGTGCTCAAGGATGCTGCAAAGATATCTGTTAAGGCCCCAGCTATTTCCTCTCTCACTTCCCTCCGCAACCTGGGATAGATCCCATCTGGACCTGGGGACTTGTCCACCCTAA